ATGAATATAAATTACAGAGTTTAAAAATAAATATAAGCCTAAATATAAATAATGATATAAAATTACAAATTACTTAGTTTTCTTATCTCATTTCTGAAAGGGCCAAATCCGGCCATTAATCTTAGCTTATCAGGTAATGCATTCCAAGCCTTTGCAGCAATGTAAGAAGTCGATTTAAGGCCGTAAGTTGCGGTCTTCGCTTCAGGGAAAACAAGTTTGTTTTTGCCCCTAAGATTTTTCTTATTTTCTCTTACTTGAAATAAAGATTGAATATACTGAGGCATATTGTTATAGAGAGGGCTTTAAAAATGATTAAAAGCATGTCTTGTTTCCGTCTACAACTTAATGAGTAATGAACCACGTTATGTTTGGCTCAACCTCGGCTGGTGATTGTTTAATGAGAAATCTTACCGTGTATCAAACAGACCGGTGGTGAAGACCTTTCCGATCCAGAGGTGAACATACGTGCACAGGACAGCAGAGCAGCGGCCTGATCCTGCAGTGGGATCATTGCGCAAATGTTAACTCACACACACAAGGGGTTACCCGAACTACTAAGGAACTCAACTGTAAATAAATGTTCATAACGAACCTTGTTTAAGCTAAAGCTAACTATCATTTCCTCAGCAATGCTTTCCTGCAAGAAAAAAAAGGAAATGTTACTGCGATGTCCACAGATCTTCATAATCTTATGCATATATGCTTATCCTTTTGTCCGTGAGTTCCATCCATAAGTGCTCAATATTTGCATTATATACACGTAGTTTGTATATTTGTTTGTATTTTATTTACTTGGCTGGTTTTTTTTTTCTTGAGCGTGAAAGCATTGAGTGTGTGGGAGGAGGGGGAAGGGGGAGAAGGGAGAAGGGTGGAGTGGGGAGGACAACTAACAAAGGAAGCTCACAACTTTTATTTATTTCTATTTCACTTGATGCTTTGGCGGTCGTCTTCCTGCAGCCACTTTCGCAAATCAGGCTTAGAAGCAAAATCAATCTGCCTCAAGGAGACAACGTTAGCTCACCGTTACTTCAAGAGGAAGGTTTAGTCGACCACTGGAACCTGTCAGAATTGGCGGAACAAAAGACTGAGTGGCTCTTGAGGTGCTCCGAAGGTTTTGTTGTTCTGACTGTGATCTGGTAAAAGAAAAAAGCGTAAGGTTAAATATGTCTGTCAGATCCATTTTGGCAAGAAGAGAGAGTCGTCATTAGTATATATCACCTTGGGTTTGGAAAAATATATTGCAAATCTTTTTCACTATGTAAAGTTTTGTTTATTCGCGGGATCATTTAATGTCTGCTGTATATGTGATTCATACGGTTAGCAAATTTGTACCATGATTGATTAATTTCTTGGAAGAAAATAATCCTATTAGACTAGAAGAAGTCCAATAAATCAAAAGAATGATTAAGGTCCGGACATCTCAGAGAGAAGATACTGTGTGTAGCGATATTTTGAAATGGTTTCTGTGACATGACAATTTACAAACACCTCCAAAGGGAAATCCTATTAGTTTGATGCAGCAGAGAAAAAAAAAAAAAACCATAACGAAAGGAATACGCTGGTTAAGATTGAGAATGGAGAAAATCAACAAGGATTGCAAAAATAGCATGATTTGAAACTTAAAAAAGTTTAGGGTCTTTTAACGTGGGTTCCTATATTCAACATACCGAAAGTTTCAACTAGCCTAACGTATCTTTAATCACTCCATTTTGGTCGAAAGGTACGTAAAATGTAAAGCTCTTGAAACTATCTGTTATTACATTTCCAAGAAACTTGGACCTTTCCATTGGAGAAAGGAGACAATACTGAGTCCTCACCTTTGCAGAAGGTACGGTAACACTGGCATGCTCTGCATCTTGACATGTTCATCAATGTTACTGATACAAGTCAGTTCAGTGCCGGCATTACAAGCCATCAAGGCATGAACGGTCTCTGTTAAGGAAAAAGATCCCATTCACTTTTGACATGGCGAACAACACCTCTCTGCCTTTCAGACAAAAGACGAATCTTATACTGCCATAAAATACTCTGTTCCAATTCTTTTTTTTTAAGAAACTTCGTAGACACAACGCGATTTGAATTAATACTTCTTAAAACTAAATCATCAACGATGAATGTAATCAACAATAAACCACTATATCTATCGAGACGCTTCTGAATGATACTGCGATATCTCTTACTTATTCTCTATAAAATATTCTTTGCTTTGTTTGTTTGCAGTACATAATAAGTATTTTGCACAAAACATACAAACTAAGAAGAACCTGAAAAACGACTTGGTTTTACCATCTATATCAAACCAAAATATTTGACTGCAATTTCTGGGAGACACCATCCATTCGTAAAAAAACAAACAAACAAACAAACATAAAACAAACACACAAAAAACTCAATAATCGAGAAAGAATGGACTCACCTCCACTTTGCCAGTTTGAAGGAGAATATCCACTGAAGCGAAACAAAAGAAAAAAGTTACCTTGCAGCATTTTAAGAACACCGAAAAGCAAGACCAAAGGTTAAAGGAACGCTTAAAAAAGAAAAAAAAGCCAAATAAACTTTTAGCCGCTATTGTGAAGATACGAATGTTTGCTTCGTCTAATCAATAAATTAATCTTTGAGTGGAAAAACAAAACGTGGTGACTTTTGATATGAAACAGCATGTAAGCAGTTTTATGACCTGTTAAAGGCCTTCTTACAATGGAGGCGAGCGAAAGACAAGCATTTTTATTGTCATTTACCTGATAGGTAGTAATTCTAGCTCCCCGGTGGACGATGGTCCATAATAAACACTGCTTGCTATAAATGTCGAATCTGGATTGAAGGACAAAGTCTTTGAAATGATCCAGATGTCATCTGCGAGAAAGATCGACCACAATAGTTCAGACAAAGGGCTTCCGTCAAGTAATCGTTGAGTTTTGAAATCCAGAGACAAGAATTTTACAATTGCTTTGATAACCATTACATGCAAATTCCAGCCACAAGTTTGCCTAAATTGACCAACCATTAGGTCGAAAAATCTAAACCACTCAGAGTGTAGTCATAAGAGAGTTCTTGCAACTCATGCAGGTTCAGCATGTGAACTGAAAGAACTGAGCCCTCGTTGGATGACTTCTCATTTTTCTTTTTTTCTTGTGTTTCATTTTTTTTTTAATTGCTCTGTTTTTAGTTGCAGCATACACATCAACTCTCTCGAAACTTGTGGCTGGCGCCAAAAATAGAAAGAGTGGGCTATCAGTATCACCTTTCGCATAAGTAGAAGAATGATCTTTTCGAGAGAGTTCCAGATAGAGCTTTTTCTTCGCAGCAGTGGCTTCATCGCATTTTTGCCTTCCCCATTTCTGGAAAATATAAAAATTGACACGATGCAGACATACAACTTTTCTTTGACTGAAAAGCTTTCGTAAAGTCAATACCGCTGACTTGTGTGTTACGTAAGGCTGTTACCTTAGCTTTGGCTGCACCAAACCTTCCTTTTCCAGCATCTGACTGTTTTCTTATCAGATGGCACTCACAATAAAATGAAACACTCTGAGGAAGAAACAGAGTATTCAAATAAAGTAAAGTAGCTCAAACTAAAATTGGAATCGAGGTAACATTCCCGCACAGCCTCATACTTCTTAAAGTGTACAGTTCATGCACAACGAAAACTAGATTGCCTTTGGTAACACAGCTTTGGTTTACAGTAGTATGGGGCTGTGCAAAAACGCTACCGAATCGTCTTGTTTTTGTATAAAGCTACATGTTTTATGCTTTAGTCGTCACAGTGAAAAAAGTGTTAGCTTCCGTTGTATTTGTCCAACTTACATGGCTCCTGAAGAAAGACATCAAACCCTCAGCAGATAACAGCATGATCTTATTTGATGACCTTTGGTAACACAGCTTTGGTTTACAGTAGTATGGAGCTATGCAAGAACGTAACCGAATCGTCTTGAGTTTGTATAAAGCTACATGTATTATGCTTTAGTCGTCACAGTGAAAAAAGTGTTAGCTTCCGTTGTATTTGGCCAACTTACATGGCTCCTGAAGAAAGACATCAAACCCTCAGCAGATGACAGCGTGATCTTATTTGATGACCTTCGAGACGCCCCCTCTGATGCTTGCTTGCTCGATTGGTATTCGTCGGCCCACTTAAAAAACTAGAAAAATAAAAAGGATCAGCGTGCCAAATACTTCACTAACACAAACACATCTCTTCCGCCTATAGCTCCCATGTTAACGTGTGTACCTAAATACCTGTCCTTTATTTGATCACAAGTAAATTAGTCGGTTTATCACTGACAGCCCTACGAACGTAAAAGAGACGGCAAACAGCTACAATGTCGCATCCTTTCCAACGAAGAAAAATTCAATTTTGGAAAAATTCTGTCTCGCCAATGCATATTCTGAAAGAAGTAATTTTTTAAGGTAAAAACCAATCTGGTTCCCTTCGCAGCCGTTCTTCGCGACTTCATGCAATGGTCGTGATATGACATCCCACAGAATCTGCTACTAAGGAAAACAGAACTAAAGAGATTATTTTTTTTCACCTTGCATTGCGCCTGTCCTGTTCCTGGGCAGGTGTAGAATAGACGCCCCTACGTAAAAATTTTAATTATGGAAACAATTAATAGGGGTGACAACCTGCATGTGTCTTCCACCAAAGATCAAAGGGAAACGATTTCGGAAAACGCAACACGGGGTAAAGATGAAAACAGCTTGAGCAGGCGAGAGAAGATTGCGAAGAGAAGACGGATGCTAACTCAGCATGGCGGACAATCCTTCAACCAAGGGAAGCGATGGCGCAAAAGGCCGCGGGTAAAAGCTAGATACAAATCGAGCACGAAACTGAAAACAAAAGGGCTGGGAAGAATGACAGGCGTGAATTTCGGCGCAACCTCTCTGACCGTGATCGAGGTGGAAGGTCCCCCCCCCTCCGTATAAGTGTTCCAGGTGACAGTAGTCACAACCTAATGACTTGTCATTGTACAAGCAAAGTTTACTGACCTTATTTGGACCATCTTTCTTTACAGCTCTCAAACGTGCTTGTCCTTAATTATGACAAAACAAAGTGCAGATAGTAATTGTTTTGTTATATGTACTAGGAAGAACGCTTTTCAACTTCAGTTAAAGACGAAATGGTTCAGTTCGACCCTTACATTCTTGGATTCATTAAAAGGAATCAAATTGGTCATCTAAACTACCAATAGATGTTGTGGTGAGAGCAGTTTGTTTCCCCATTTCTCACCGCGTGCTGTTGTTAGATGCTTTTTTCAGATTCTCATACACTAGCGTGTATATGAAGGGTTAAATTTCGATTTACAGTTGCAAAATTATTAAAAGGAGAAATTGGGACGGGCGGAAAAACCTCTTGAACTAGAAACAAGCGCAGTAGATCTAAATTCAATAGGACTAATCTTACATGACGTTATATGATGCATCATATCATCTAACTTACGGG